CACAGGCCCTGTCCAGTTTTACAGACCAACTCAAACACATGGCTGAGGAAATAAACAGCAAAATGGGTAAACAAAATCAGTAAACTAACCTTTTTATGCGTAGTCATGCAGTACTGTCAGTGCTCGTCAGTCGTTCCGAGCACCAGCTCGTCTGCAAAATTGTTCCGTTTTAGACTTAACAGACATGCGCAATCGCGATAGACGTCAGAGCTAGACATCTTCATTACATGCATTCTGATTGGTGTAGGGTACTTGACCGTCATTTGACAAGCGAATAAAGATGCGGGTAACATATTACGCTTTTAGTCCCTTTTATTACCAAGCAAGATTTTGTTGTGCGAAGCCGGCGATGTTCGGCAATGTATGCCATGTATGATATTTGTATCGCTTCCATATTTATAAGAAATTCACTTCAGTTTCCCAATTTTATAAAATAATCACATCGATATTCACTTTCTATAACTCAAACAGGTCAATTTTACAATTTTTATAAGATTTTCACTTCGTTTTTTTTTACAGTTTTTAAAAAGCATCACTTCGATTTTTACACCTTTTAAAGCGAGTACTTCGCACTTCGTTTTTCACCCATGTGGAGGGCCATTAAAACGAGCGAAGAATTCTGCAAAGTATGTAGTGGCTTTAGACGACCTACCAGTAGAGAGAAGATGGTAGAATGCCGTGTGTACGAAAAAAAATAGAGCAGAGCTAATTGACAGACGGAACAAGGGAATTAAGGCGAATGAGTCACCAAAAACAGGAGAATTGCAACGGACTAAATACCACGGAAGTTACATAAACAGTTCCTGATAAGTACTGTGAGTATTTACATGTGTATGCTGACTTAAAAGTGACTCTACATGACTGAAGGGCAGCGCACGCATATTGGCTTGGCGATCTTAGTATAAGATTGGAAGCCAAATTATAGCAACCAATTTCGACATTTAATGTGGCCACCTGCTTATTTACATTTGACAGCCATACCAGGAGAGCGTTTACGTATACATGCGCCGTTAAAGAAAGACATTACTGATAAACTTTGCTTAAATATGTAACACTTACAGATGTTGAACTTTCTAAATGAAAACTAAACTTAGCATAGCCATAAGCTATGGGATATATTCATTAGTATCCATAGGTGACAATGTAGGTAAATTTTATATCTATCACGAAATACAGGACAAAAACTAAATGGTTTGTTTGCTTACAAGCTTCACGCCTACTACATTAAGACCAAAAATAAACAGACTCAATATCTGAAATTGTTGCCTTCTGAAACAGATATTTTGATTTGTTCTCATTTATTCATTTATAAACATTTTCTAAATTGTTCTGTAATGTTGCATTTAAAAAAAGTGTACAACGCCGAAAAATGAATGGAATAAAAACGACCGACTTTTATCCGATATGTCACCTTAGATTAAAAAGAGCAAGAGCAAAATACTGGAGGTAAACGCATCCTAAAAACACAACAAAACTATAGATATCAAAGTAATATATTGACAGAGAGATAAAGAAAGTATTGTACATCATATATGTATTTTTCAGTTTTTTGGACCATTTTGTTTGATGGAAGAGGATTTTGTTTTTTAGCACATACCATAGAATTTCACAACATGACTTGCAGATTATACATATTGTTTTGTGTGGTAAACAATCTATACTGTTCCACATACCTATGTGTATAGGTTATGTTTACCAGTTTTGTCAATATTTAACGTTGAATATGACCTACATTGAACGCGACGTGTGTGACGCGATAGAAATGTGCAGTTGTCTTCGAATGGAAGTGTTCCTTGGACCTAATGTACTATATTTAATTTGTATACATACCTGTGAACATTGTCCCGTCCTCAGTTAGAACTGCACATCCTACTCTGAAATTGCTGTACGGGCAGTAGGCCCTCTCTTTAGCTTTATGACATTCCCTGATCAACGCCTTGAATTCCTCTGTCAATACATATATTACAAAATGACTATATATATGGGATTCACATGTCATGTATACCTAGAAAGGTTGCTGCTACTACATAATACATGATAGCGGTGGCATTGTCTACACAATGAATCTATTGTTAGCATGCATGCGTGTTATACTCCAGATAGATAACTGGTGACAATTTCCTGGTATTTTACTTAGAATAAGATAACTGGTCCAATATCATTAAAACTTAATTATTCATTGTAATTTTATATATTTTGTTTTTTGAAGTCAACACTCATCGCTGGGATATTGAGTTGAATATCACATTTTTTACAAAGTCGCTCCAAACACTAACTACTCACCAGTTATATCGCTTAGGGGATGTATACTCTATGTAGACTATAAATTGACAGCAGATCTTATAACTGAGCAAAGTTTTAATTTTGAATCTTAATCTTAATGTGTATTATAACGGTTTGGTAAGTGATTGAGGTCGACCCAGTGATTTTAATTATGAGTGCTTCTAACAGAAGTTGAAAAATTATTAAAATGAAAAAGTACAGATAATCACGTGATGTGCATTTATATTTATCAACTGATTGCCAGCCTTGTATACACTAACACGATATGAACTCATCAATCAGGTCACCAGCAAAGTCCATGTGATTCTCGTTAATTTTGGAATGGTTATCAAGCACACGCACATGTATCTCCAAGTTGTCACGTAGCAACACACTTATGTCAACATGTTGTACTGTATCTACCGATTAAACTAATGGCAAGTGTTATGACTATACATTTAGTCCAACAGAAAACAAACATAACACTTTTTACATCTTTGTGACAAACTGATCAAATGTCCAATAAACCTCGATCGTATATTCAGATTCATGACTATTATTATCAAGGAAGTTATTTCTGTCATCACGATGTTTTCCCCAGTTACCAGTTGTTGTCGCGTGTTTACATGTCATGTCAATGTCATGTTGATACCAAAAGGTTTCGGGTCACTAAAGTAAAGATTTGTCCGAGCCAACCATCCAATAGCGTTCAAACAATCAGAAACGCGCCGGGCCGAGTTCCATTGACAATGATTTCGGCCTGAGCCGAATGCGTTCAGAGGAACAAATTTGCTGTCTGGAGCCGAACTATAATAATTGCATGAACATTCGCCCGCCATTGTATTTATATAATAATAATGTTGATTTTGTTGACCAGTTTAATTATCTAGGACATAAAATAACCCGTGACCTGAAAGACGATGCGCACATTGATTGTCAGAAACGTGTATTCTGTGTGCGGACAAACATTGTGCTACGTAAATTTAACAACTGCAGCCACGAAGTCAAACCTTTGCTATTTGAAAATATTCTGTTCTAGCTTGTATTGCTGCCACTTATGGTGTATGTATGGAAAATCTACTGTTAATGACCTTCGGGTCAGTTATAATAACGCTTTTCGTAAACTGTTGGGGTACGCCCGTGACACTAGCGCAAGCACTTTCTTTGTTGAAAACCGTACAAATACATTTACCGGTTTATATAGAAAGCTAATTTAATCAAATAACCCAAGTATGTTTGTGAGCGTTTTTTTAAATAAATAATCGTCACACGGTGCCTGACTGAATTAAGACGCCATGTGCTGAATTCAATCCCATGTGAGATCTTTCCCGCCAGATTTTCAATGCTCTTTCAAAAAAGTAGACAAACCGAAAGGTTATAAATTTTAGTAGAACAGTTTAAATGTTTGCAAGAAAGTTACTGACAATTTCCAGCAGGTATGCTTCTCTTGTAGCTTCAACATATGATAAAACTGTCGTACCATACAAATGCAAATATTGAATTTCAGTCTGTTATACGGGCAGGTGGAAACATAACCAGCTTATCCATTTGAAGTCAAAAGCTATTTATATGTGTGTTCACTTCGCTTGAATCGCATGTGTGGAAAGATATTTTAAAAATGCAACACGAAAAAAAAAACATTTTTTTTTACTTAAAGCGGCGGATTCGTCACTGACGCATGCGTCAGGTAGCCATAGCGTGTCATTGTTTACAAACAAACGTCTACCCATGAGCCTTTAGCAAGGCTCACGGTTGCACGACTTTTGGCCACGATTTTGTCGTGGCATGTCATGCCATTTTTGGGCACGTACTGGGAAGCTCCCGCACTGTTCACGAATAGTTTATAGTGTCACGAATAGTGTCCATCAATGTACACATTGAAACGAACTGGCAAGACGTGTTCACGCATAGTTTACGCACTTCCCGCATTGGCACAACGAGTTTGCGCAATTCGGACTGTGTCGTGCCGACTTGGGCGCGCCATATAAAAGGGGGGCCTTCCTAACCCCTTGTTATTTTTGGATTGGCTTTGTTTTTGGCACGTTGTCTCCGTGAAATAAATTGTATGATAGCTGGCGATCTCTGGAATGGCGAGCAGTGTCCATGAAGCCCTAAAAATTTTCCTTCACCGACGCGAGCGTCACTGTCGCGCAGTAGTAAACTGCTCCTGCCACGCGCAAACTGTTCGCGAAGTGCATAAACTAGTCGTGAACTGCTCGTGCCATCAATATGTTAAGTACACGTGATCGTGTCAGTGAGAAGGCACCAATTCGTGAACATGTCGCGAACTATTCGTGGCAGTTCGTGACAGTCGTGGCATGGCGCGCACTGCCAAGCAGTGGCACGCATCGTCCCGAGTTTACGACCAGTTTGCACATAGTTCGCGACTCGGTCGCTTAATTTTGTTGTGACCAACATTTTGAACATTTCAAAATTCTCGTCCCAACATGGCACGCATTCACGACGGGTTTACGCACACTTCACGCCAGTTTAAAACTAGATTGCGCACTGGCACGACTCGAGTCAGTCTTGCCTTGGCGTTCTTAGCGTGTGTTGTGCGCAGGTGACGACCCTCCCGCTTTAATTATTTAACGAAAATATGGAGCAAAAAATGTATTTGAAGTTAAGGACAACAAATACATATAAGTTGATTATAATAATTATTTTAACTACTGGGAAAAGACAATATGAATTCTAACCATTGATGTGTATCCCATTCTTTCAAACATGTCAATATTAGAATGAACAACGCATATGCAATGCTGAACTAATTATGCTGATTATGGTAGGTACATGCCACAACATTTTCACAGACACGTTAAAAATGTCAGATTTGTGTCAATAGTACCTTCATACTATTGGCTAAACACTTAAGGATGCGGTAGAGTTATTTTCGTGAATTTTGCTTTTTTTGTTACTGATCAAAATTAAAACTGAAACACATCTAGAATACCTTTTTTTTTTAAATAAGAAAAACTACTTGTATAACGGGATACTGTACACTTTGTTTCTGAGATAAAAGTCTGGACGCAAACAATAACATTGACTTATTGCGTAATTTGAATAATCCCTTCAGGACGGAAACAGAGCACACTGAAGACGACGCGGTCATATCAACTCCGGCTCTAGCCCTGAGTACAGTCCTGTAGTTTGGCCTTCTTCCTCTGATCCTTCGGCCCCCACAGTCCTGAGAAGTCACATAGACCGAGGATTCAACACCCACCTACAAATTTATGGCGGAAAACCGTTCTGCAGTTTTCATGATTGTAACCAGCTAAAACATCTATCGACCAATCTAGCGTTCACAAATACTTTTTTGTGGCCGAAAAATGAACCTACAATACTGGAACGTTGGCGAAAGCTAGTTTTACGCAACGAAACAACGTTTTGTTAATAAATACGTCAAGAACAAGATGGCGGCGTATATTTTCGGTTGACGTTGGAAAATGTCAATTTGATCGACCCATGGAACTATAAACCCCAGGAAGAACAACGAAACTAAGAGGATTAAAAAAACTTTGTCTTACAGTGCTTTCGCTTTTGTTTCCACAACATTAGTCATACTCAATGTTAGTTGCCGCCGATACGCCCGTATCAACCGCTTTGCTGGAAACGGAAAACTTGAAAAAAATATTTCATATCTTCGTAGTAAAATATTTCGTTCACTACGCATGCGCAAACAAGTCGGTCTGCAGGATGACCTTCAGTGTACCGGAAATCATGCAACGGGTCGGAGTTTTAGCGAGTTTTCATAATTTTCAATGTCGTTTTTAGATTATTTCTTGTTGTTTTTCAACCCTCGAAAAAATAAGGTTGCGAATGTTTGCGAAACATGGGGTTTGGTATGCTGTTTGTTGTCGAGATGTCCCGACTTATTCCGTGTTTCCCTTCGATCGCCAGAAGTGGCAATGTGTTTTTTTTTCCCGTTGAATGTCGCTCATTTATCGGTGTTTTTGTCTTGGCGCCATTGTTTTTTTATGCTATAACCGAAACAACTCGATCACGTGATCCCCGAAGTCGCCCGATTGACTCCGAAAATGACCGATAGTCGGAGATACACGTTCATTTGTGTAAATCGGCTTATTTTTTAATGCAACGAAATAAACAGTCAAAATAAACATTCGTCATCCCGGCAACTATCATAGTTCAAAGGAAACGACGTGGTTGTTCTTCCTGGGGTTTATAGTTCCATGATCGACCCTAGTGGGAACTCTTATGTAATTTCGCTTCCAGTTAGGGTATTTAGAATAGTTGGACGTATCGACCTGCTTAATTTTTAACTGCAAAGCTGAATGCCTCTTAAATCGCCCGATGCACTCCTTCACAATAGTGTCGAATCCTCGGTCTATGCGACTTCTCAGGACTGTGGGGCCGAATGATCAGCGGAAGGAGGCCAACCTACAGGACTGTACTCACGGCTACTCCGGCTCCCGATCAATCACTGCGAACTTACGAAATCTCCAGTTCTACTACGACTGCTGCATCTTTTCGTTGTTTCGAAGATTTATCATGACACAAAAAAGAGGCCTCCAAGGAAAAACTAAAAACGCAGTTTAGAGGAAGCGAAACTTTACCTATAACAGAAACGCATTGCCGACAGTACAATGGGGTTCACACTTCAAGTTTGAGTATTCAAACCAAGAGGGTAAAATTTCGTCAGCAAAACATGATCAATTTCCATCTACCAAAAAGTCGGGCAGACAATTTAATATCAACCGAAAATCGGTATATTGGTCGGACGAGCAGTTGTGAGAGGTCGGCGAGGTTTGAAAAAACCAGTGTCTTGTGTGAGATTGCCGCCGGGCCACCCATCCACAAAGGTCCGTACAAGAACGCTGTTTCCGAAGTTGTGGTGGAAGCCGAGTGTCAGCTAGAACAAGACATAACGTCGGATGTTGTTGAGTTAATTAGCACTAGGGGTTGGCGTTTAGGCATGTCGACCTCTTTTTCCGGTTACTAAGCAAGCGTTTGTATAAACATAGACCTTAGAATCTCATTCTAAGGTCTATGGTATAACCATGGAACTATATGGTATAACAGACCACGCTTTGCAAGTAAACATGATTTGAATATATAATGAGATGACGTCATTTATCTCTCTAACTGTTCAACGTTATGCCGGGCCGCTGTGTACTGTAACAACTTCGCTTCTTTTTAGAGAAATACGGGCCCAACACTTTATAGTTTTAGATTTTAATACTGCAAGGCTATTAAGTGACTCCATAATATGTGTTTTGTTGTAAAAATCAGTCAATCTGATGCTTTAAATGTCCAAAATTAGCGCAACGTGACAAATGTTTTGTTTTTTTGCGTTTTCAGGCAGAAGAAATCTGACGCCATAGAGGTAATTCAAGTGAGTTGTGCGTCGTCAGAAATTGACCTACCTTCATGAAATTCACACACATTGATAACGTATTGGTACAGAATAAAACCCTTGAAGCATTTTTTGATAACTTCTCGCAATAAAAAATAAAAGGCTTTTAAATTCCTTGTCTATGGGTGAAATAACAAAAAAATATAAATTGATGTAATTGTAAACAAATATGCGATCCATGTTCTAACACTCTCGAGGCATTGACGGTGCTGATGCTGCCTTGATTTTTCAGCTTTCTTTTTTTACAAAACCCCTACGGTTTTTATACAAAACTCATTTTTATTCAAAATAACACATCTAGGTTTACTTAGTAATCACGTGACTAATTCGTGATACATGTCGCAGATCATTTTTTTCAAAAAGCCAGGAACAAGGGCTTCAAGAAAATATATAATTTGCTATGCCTCAAAACACTTTTCCCCATTTACTTTTTAGAGTATGATAACTCTACCGCATCCTTAATTAAAATAACACACATAAGGACAGATATTAAGAATATATATGAGATATTATTGAGATTCGAATATATTAAACGATTGAATAAATGTTCTAATAAATTGTCATATCGTTCAATTGAGTGTGCCTGTCCCAGAGTACCTGCAGGACCCGGAAGGGCTGGCAAACGGAACATACCATTTTCACTTTGGAATGTACGTGTCGACAGACACATTTATTTTGTTGGCATTATAATTAACGACACTGTATAACAAGAATAAAACAATATTACAATAATGACAGAATATTTTACGTTCTTTTGCTACTAAAACGACTCTATTTGCTAAATTCTCCGTTCAATGATAATGGTATGACCCAGCACTTTGAAACCTGACACCAAAGCTAAAAGTTCATTCTGCTGAACAGTCGCTTTGTTGACTGATTTCAACATACGTTCACGTAACAATATAGCACCAAATGTGAATGCGGCAACTATATTTTACTTGCAAGAAAAAAAAGAGTCTGAAATGAACTCTCCGATACACAGAAAACACATCAAATATCCTTGCCTTACGTTTGTAGGGGTATATTGTTTTAGCATTTTGTTTGTTTGAAATAGATAACAAATTCCTATCATATTGCAAGGGTCATGGGGGACAGAGGAATCAAAGTGATCATTTCGTCAAGATGCTTGGGGCTACACATGTTATCGCACATTTGCAACGCTCTATGTTTGATGAACAGTGAAGGCTGCCAATATGTATATATATATATGGGCCAATATATATATATAACATCGATATTTTTATATGTTTCACCAATTTATCTTTTTTATACACTCCCATAACCTTATTTGAAAAATAAAAACATTTGTTGTACACATTTAAGGCACTGCATGTAAGTATGCATTTAGGCGATATATCATAACATAACCTCATGTATCACACTTTAGTCACGTGTTGTGTGCTTACTACAACTGTAACCATTTTCCAGTCAGTAAGGTCAATTTATGTAGACCAACGTCTGCCAGGTTTGGTGCGTTAATCTGACGTGTAATGATTTTTGAGTTATGCCACTGGACTATTGGTCAAGCATTACAGTAATTCATATGAATATTGGGGCATTAAAACTCAGAAGTAAAACATACTTACTTGACGACTCCATGATTTACATAAGCTTGCAGAATGTGGCACACGACCAGACCCCAGTTTACTCCTTAGGTTATTGATTATTCGATGTATTCAGAATATGGGTGATCGTCTCCCTCTTCAATCGCTACAGCGGCAGTTCGTCTCAGCATATATGCAAGCGATAAAACGAGCTGAATAAAAACATTTGTTGTACACATTTAAGGCACTGCATGTAAGTATGCATTTAGGCGATATATCATAACATAACCTCATGTATCACACTTTAGTCACGTGTTGTGTGCTTACTACAACTGTAACCATTTTCCAGTCAGTAAGGTCAATTTATGTAGACCAACGTCTGCCAGGTTTGGTGCGTTAATCTGACGTGTAATGATTTTTGAGTTATGCCACTGGACTATTGGTCAAGCATTACAGTAATTCATATGAATATTGGGGCATTAAAACTCAGAAGTAAAACATACTTACTTGACGACTCCATGATTTACATAAGCTTGCAGAATGTGGCACACGACCAGACCCCAGTTTACTCCTTAGGTTATTGATTATTCGATGTATTCAGAATATGGGTGATCGTCTCCCTCTTCAATCGCTACAGCGGCAGTTCGTCTCAGCATATATGCAAGCGATAAAACGAGCTGAATATTTTTTTATATTTTTTTACGATTTTTGTTTGATTGACGGACGAACGGAATGAGATTTTTATTGCATATCACCGTACATCTAAGCTGTGTTAAGTTTAATATAACATAATAACACAAATATACATTCAATCAAATAATTTAGAAAATGCAATCGCAAAACGGTGACAAAACGGAAATAATAATGTAACAGCAGTATACGTGCTACTAATAAAGTGAAGTGAATGCTTTTTTGCGAACTTCGTTTACGGGGTCCGGTTTTATTTATTAACCGAGCGGAGCGGGTCGCCTATCAGCCTACCTGCTTGTCTAAAGTTTTGTTTTTCTAACGGCATTGAACAAATAAACTAGATATACTTGAGTAGGATGACCCGCCCTCTGTTTGTGGAAGAGTCCACCGAGATAACATGTTTAGCATAACAAAGCATTTGAATTAATGAAATGAATATGACGTCATGTTGACGGCCATTGCAATGGATATTCGCATTCACTTACGGATTTTCGCCGATTTCACCCTCCACGCAGTTTGTTTTAGTAAATAAAAATGACAAATTGTTGCGCAACCTCAATACCAATCAAATATCACAATTTCACAAAAGACAAAAATATGTTGTTTTAAGACAAACATCCAGGTAAATTTGATTTTTGTTGTTTTCTCAGGTCACACATCTGCACTATTTTGAACTTTTCAAGAAAAAGTTGGCGGTACTTCCTCTCGCAGTACGCGTTTGAAATTAACACCAAATATTGTCAGGGTATCAAACAATAAAAGTTTGACGGGGAGAATTTTTCTGCCATTTTGTATTGTTTTAAAGAAATAATTAGTATTTATGATAATTATTAGGAAATAAATCACATACAAACGTTCATCGACACTTTATAAGAATCTTTCACAGCGAAATTATTCTGAAAATCCCCAATCAAATGATTAAATCACCGGGACAGAACTTTTTGATTTGTAGATTTTGAGGGTCCAGTTAATCTCCAGTCACATGACACCTATGTACATATTTTTTGCAAAAAATGAATTATCAAATTTCTGCATATTTCAGCTTTCAGAAAATATATAGTTTGCCATAAATTAACGATGGGATTGCCCCTGTTGCTACCTTAAACAACCACTGCGATATGTATAACCCATATGATGAAGTTGATATACGTTATCAGTCTGTATAAGCCAACTTATACTCTTTCACCAGGAAAAGAATATATGTACAAATATCATTTTCCGTTACTATTGCCTCATTATTTGTATTATTGTTGTTATTGTTGTATTATTTGAAACCCATCTTAAATCTTCAACATCGCCTGAGGTGAGAAAAGCTGATATAGAAATTGACTGGTCCAAGTCTTCGACCGGCGGTGCCCTGCTTCAATAAAATATCAGGCCCATTGTCTCGGTACGCTTATCTCAGTACAACGGACACACGATGGCGTTTGATAGAATTCAATTAGTAGGCATATGTCAGAAAATGTCAGAAACAGGTTTTTTTAACATATTTACTATCAATTACAAATTATTATTTAATCTGAGTACTCGCGACACGTCAATATAGGAGAGTTCGGGTATCCAGTAAATTCATTCAAATATTGGAGAACAGTTAGAGAGGGGGTGGGACGGGGTTGTAAGTATTCGGGTTCTTCAGGTATTTTGTATAAAACTAACTTAGAAAAATTGTACAGAGCAAATCTGACGAAAATTGATTACAGAATAACATATTTTTCTCCACTGACATGAAAAAAACGATAATAAACTTCTCCGCATACTTAAGTTAAGGTAAGCACAAACCTAAAGAACCTACCCAATACGCAGAATGATTGCATGGAAGCCATCAATATAAAATGATGGGTTGGTAAGAACAGAAATAGGCAATGATTTACAGGGAGAAAACCGATGCCTTGTATCAAATTTGGTACAATCAGATTTTACAGAGTATAGATTGCTAGTGTCCTTGTAATGAGCTACATAGTAATAAGGGTGTAAAACGTAATGGCTATATTTTTTATTAGAATCATTAATCATACTAAGTATCTGTTTGGGTGGAACCTACTCAAAAATTACATTGGTCTAAAAAGATATTAGGCGGGAGGCGATGGTTCAAATACGTGTAATTAGTAACTGAACTAATGTACTTACAGGGTAAGGGTTAGAGTGAGAAGGCAATTAAACTTGTCGATTATAAATCCAAAATTAAATTGCCCCTATCATTTAAATACAAAAACAAGAGATTAGTTAAACGACTCCCGAGAAGCATACATGTGGATCATTATTACAAAGATGATGCACGACCACATAGTCTGGTGTGATGATTCCAGGTACTTCGAGTTTTCTCGGCAACAGTATGGACATGATTTTTTTGAATTTCCCGTCAATTTATATGAGGTAATTTGGTAATTAGTGTTACAATAAAATTAGACAATAAATATATAGGTATGTAAATATGTTTAGACGCAATGTTCTGGAATAATAAACCTGTCAACTGCTTCCTACCTGGGATAAATTTGAATGTTGAATCCCATTTTAAGTCATCCAAATCTGCTGCATATCGCCCGAGCGAGGAAGAAATTAACTGGCTCATGCATACCAAAATACTACATATTCATCGACCTGCCGCGGTTCATACAGCTAACAAAAACTAAAAGACATTTCATGTAGTTATTAACTTTGAATTTTTTTTATTTTCTGCCAGTAAACTAAATTACAACATAAACGAGCTGACTGATTATTTTGACGGAACAATTTTAAAGGTCATACCTTAAGGAGACGTTATCCCTTGGATTTCAAAAGACTGTGTAATATATACAGTACATGCACAAATAACGGAAAATAAATTAACGATTTACCCGTAGAAGTTTTCAAATAATTGGCTGTTAAAAATTGATAAAACAGAAGTATTTCATATAATATTACTTTTATATTAATTCATTATGATGTACAATGTTATACAATTCATGTTAAAACTAAAAAATAAATTAAAGACACGAATTTCTGGTGGACTATTTTAAAAGAAAAGTAAAATATTAGGAAATTAAATTCTAGTATTTAAAGAAAAAACATAATATACAGTAAGTAAGATGGGCTTGTCCATCGAAAGTAACATGATTTCCTCAATGTCTCTAAGTAGTGCATATTAACGACTAAATAATACCAACTAAGTATGTATCAAATTAAAACATACTTGAGCCAAAGCGATGTACATTCTAAAATTAAAAAAGATTTTTAATTTTTTTTTTAAAGTTATTAATATTGTTGTGTAAATATTATATTATGATCATACTGTGTCTTCGACGCTATTCCCTGGAAACAAAACAAAACATAATTATAGCAGTATCGACAAGCCATTCTCCAAATATCTATAGTCTAGAAAAAACATACTGACAAAGTCGATGGAAGCGGAACATCACAACCCCCCACAAGGAATATGCAATATGTTATTTAGACTCACCACTGTCAATATACCCTTCAGGGTCAGTCAATATATCAGACTGAGGTGTTTCCATTCGGAGATACTCATCTTCATCTGCAGATAAAAAATATATATTAGGATTGGTTAGCTTCTGATATGCATATTGCACTTTTAAGGGGGTCATTATAATATTGCAATTCCGTAATATTATCTGATATAATATCTGCATCATTTCCACTTCTAAGAAACTGTTACACGCATTATTTTTTAACTCAGTATTGCCTTAACACAAATGACTGAGTTTGTGATAGTAAAGCTTCAGTTACAAATGTCAGTTAAAATCCAACGTCTACTGAATAAACATTTCTAACTCACACGAGCACACCTTTAAATATGTATCAGCGTAACACTGAAAACTATATAATTAAAGTGCACGATTTTCCTAACATTCGAATTTGTGCTGATGGAATTGTTGACACTTATAGCTTTAACAAAATAACAAAAAAATGTATACTGTTCTGGTCTTCAGTACACTGTAAATAATTACGGAATATTTTCTGGCTCTGTTTACACAAATGATTAATGATTTTATCATAGGTCATGTAGTTGTGTGTATTTATTGCTAACGTTTGTACAATGTTTGGTTTAAAGTCGTAATCTCGTAATTGATATTCATGATTATAGTAGGACGCCATTTTTTGCTGCAGTCGAATAGAACCAGTCTTAAAAATGTCCCGGACATAAACGAAAAATAAAGCAAACATACTAGACCAATCACAACCCACAAATTAGCTCATTATTTGAATAACAGCATGATAATTCACTAGTGGATTGAAATATCATATCAACGGATGCGATTAAATATACTAACCATTCATATGCAAATACATATGACGGATTTCCGGATTCAGCTTCAGGTATTCAGAAGCAGACATAGCCTTGGCCCTGGGTATTCTATGTATGCATGCAAATAAAATAAAAGCATTAAATCGTTAACTTTATTAAAGCACATATTATGATCAGAGATATGTGTAGATGCACGTCTGAACTTACTCGTATGGCTCATCTGTGTTTATTTTCCCTGGCTCTAAATATGTATGATGTATAGTTTCTGAGCCGGTGTCGCCGTCCAACTGTTTACTCTTGTCGTTATTGTGAAGTGGTGTTCTAGGTGGTAGCTGGGGTGGATACTGTAGAGTAGAATGTGAGAATATGGAAAAATAGTAAATCAAGTAGACCATAAAT